CCCCTCCCGCGTGAAGCCACACATCCGTCACGTGCGCCGTGTCGGTCGGCCGAGGCTGCCCGGGCGCTGACGTCGGCGTGTGCCGCCCCGGCAGCCGATGTGGTCGGGCCCAGACGACTGTAACCGGGTGGCGGGCAAGGTGCGGCTGGGCCGGGAGACGCTGGCTACCATCGACGGCAAGTGGGACGGCCAGGTGTTCTTCACCGACAAACGCACGGGCGTGAGTAACGACGCCCCAATGATGGCCGGCGCCGGCGCTCCGTCGACCGTTTTCATATCGAGTTCATCCGTCTGATGTAGTTTTACTGGTAATTTGCTATGTGGATTTCCTATCATTGTTGTTTAAAAATCGGTTTAAAATGGTACTTGCCCACTAATTTAGGCTATCGACTACAGCGTGCGAGGAAAATACGAATAGGCTGGCAGAGAACGTTGAGACCCCATCGCACAAACGACGCGTGCACCAGCGAAACTGCAGGAAACGCGCTGGGTCACGCTTGGTGTGTCTGCACTTAAGGTTATAAGGCAGGACAAGCCTCGGCAATGGCGACAAGAGATTTACAACGCTCCTTGTTATGGTGGAGTGACGTGATGAGATAAGAACGTGGTGCTCCCCGTCGGCAGAAGCGGGAGACCCTGTGGAACCCGACGCCAGACGTGTGCCGCCAGCGGCTGAAGCGCTTCACAGTGCCCATGGAGGCGCAGGGCGAGTGGGAGTCGGAGCGACTCTGGGCCAAGGTCTCCAAGGAGATCCTCAGAGATGATCAGGTGGGACTGTGGGCCGAGGTCTCCCAGGAGATCCTCAAAGATGATTAGATGGGACTCTGGGCCGCGTTCTCCCAGGAGATCCTCAGAGATGATCAGGTGGGGATTCTGGGCCGCGTTCTCCCAGGAGATCCTCAGAGATGATCAGGTGGGATTCTGGGCCAAGTTCTCCCAGGATATTTTTTGGATAATCAGATGGGACTCTGAGCCAAAGTCTCTCAGAAGATCCTCGTGGATGACTAGGTGCGACTCTGGGCTAAGGTTTCCCAGGAGATCATCAGGGATGATCAGGCAGGACTCCAGAGAGACCCTGAGAGATGGCCAGATGAGAGTCGTGGCCAGGGTCTCCGGGAAGACCCTCAGATAGATCAGGTGGGAATCGGGTGACTAGCGTGGAGTGTAATGGGAGGTCGTCAGGGACGTCCGTCCAACAGCCGGAGAATACCAGTACTGTCCCGGAAAATCCTCACGGACGACCCAGTAATACTGCTCACGAGCAGATCGATATGGCGTGTCGTAAAACCGCAGGCGCGCCTCTGAAGGCGCACGCGGTCACTGATGAGCAGTCGCTACTCTGTCCAAGTGATGCGTGCATGCTCCCACACTGCTGATACTGGGAGCAGCACCATTACCGCAGGCTGGGCGTGAGCGTACAATACCACGTGGTCTGACCCGGCGCCTGGCTGGGCCGGCAGGAGGCGGCCACGCAGGAGAAGTTTGTGCTCGAGGAGGCGCAGAGAGCGGGCGCCAAGGAGCGCAAAGCCACCGGTAGCGAGTGGGTCACGAAAAACTTCGCCCAGGTGAGGTCAGGCCGGAGAGTCGCTGCACGGCGGAGGCACTGCGCGGAGTGGTCTGTTGAGGCCGGTTCTTGCTGTGGTGGCTCTATCGGCTCGGCGTTTGTGTTTGTTTGAGTTTGAGTCCTGTGACGTCATGTGTACTGGTGAGGTCGCTCAGCGATCGTGTCAAAACAAGTTCTCGTCAGACCGTGGCTGGTGGCGGCGCATGGGCTGGTTCCGAGTGGGAACCTTGCAGTCCTCCGCGCCGAACAAATCACAAACGGTGGGTTGCGACTCGGTGCGGCTCGACGAGAGCCGCCAACGGTCCGACGAATCGATGGCCGCCGGTTCGGCTTAATTTGAACTCGACCAAAATACCAACACCACTCTCACAGATGTAGAGCGGTTGTACACATGTGAAGGATTGCGACAAATGTGTTGCAGGGAGCGGGTGTACACATGATACGCGTTTGCCGACATTTGTGCTGTCATTCAGCGGAAGATCCCACGGGACTTTGCTGAAGCTCACGAGGCTTGTCAAGCTAGCCTTCGTTTGATTCAGTGGCCGTGTTGGCGTCTCCCTGGCAGTGCCGGCTCGCCCCGCCGCTAATCAGCGGCTCCGGAGACCTATGGGCTGCCCCCCCCCCCCCCCCCCCGTGACCGCCCGTGCCGCCGTCGTTCGCGGTCCGACCGCACGGCCTCTGTGGCAGGACTGCCTGACGGGCGAGTACCTGTACCGGTACGCCGACCTGCGCCCCTGGGACCCGCACACGGACCAGCACCAGTACGAGGCCGAGTACCAGGTGCTGACGCGCACGCGCGTGCGCGCGCCCATGCTGCGCACGGCCAGCATTCTCAGCGTGGAGGCCAACCTGCGCAAGGTATGTCCGCGGGGGCGGCGCCGTGTCTCGGGGGCTGGCGGATGGGCTTGTGATCAATGGGACGCGGGTTCGAGTCTCGCCGGTTGTGTTTCGGCTGCCCCGCCTCGTCGCCATGAGAGGCGGCACGCCAGCGGCCGCGGTGGTCACATCCGCCGTAACTGGAAGTTTGCTTCACGTCGGGCCACGGTGATGATATGGGGCTGGGGGGACGGCGAGGGCTCGCTTCGGCCGCCACTGTCTGACTGGTGGCGGCGCTGCAGCTCTTGTGCAGGCGAACCCGCCCTGGCTCTGGCGCGGCTCGTGAACTGCGCTGTTCTGCTCCGTTTCGGCGGCGGGACGCTGAGTTTCATCGCCTGTGCGTAGGAGCGATGTATGTCATCTCCATGGGGTGAACTGCGTCACGCCTCGTTACCTCCGCCGGACCCAACAGGAAGTGGTTGTATGTTGTTTCCGTCGTGAGAGAAGGCCGTCTGAATTTGGCGGGAGGGCGTGTGGCATCAAATCGCCTCGCCGTGCTGCCCGGCCCGCCGTCAGCGGCTTGTCTGTCGGACAGGCGGAGGTGGCAGCCGTTAGAAAGGAGCTCTCCGGCCGGCCGGCCGCCATCTCCGAGAGCTCGTCGCCAGATGTCAGCACCGTGGACGGCGCTCGGAGGCGCGAGCACGTCTCCCCGCTCAGGTTCGGACCGCTGTAACGCCCGCGCGTGTGACGCGTAATGCGCGTTGACGCCGTGGCGACCGGCTTCTGGGACGGGGCTCGGAACACGTAGAGTTTGGTCAACGCTGGGTCGTGTAGCCGGCGAGATTTGGGCCGATTTTTCGCGGCGCCGTATTTACATCCCGATGTGGTATGGGACCGACTGGCGGCGTTTGCTCCTTAGGTGGAGCTGTAACCGTGTGCGCCCGCAGTGTGATGACGGGGCGGCGTGGGCCGCGTGTTGCGACTGTGACCGCGTACGCCCTGCGTTCGACGCGCGGCCGCGGGCTGTGACGGTGACTGTGCTCCGGTGCGGCCGACAGGCTGCAGCGCGCCCTGCAGCCGCTGGAGCAGCTGCAGCGCGACACCAACGCCGAGCTGGCAGCCGTGCGCCGCCAGCTGGAGCGACTGCAGCGTCGGCAGCCGGCCAGCGCCAGCTCCAGCCCCTGGCTGGTGCTGGCGCTGGCGCTGCTCGTGCAGCTGGCCATCGGCTGGTGGCTGCGGCGCGACTGAGCGGCCCACTTCTCCGTCCTCGCGCCGGGGACGGCGGGACGTGCGCCATAGCTGGCGGACGCGCCGGGCTGCGGCCTCCGGCCGGAGCCGCCGGAGACATCTGGCGGCGCTGCAGCGAACTATGTCGGCCACTGCGGGGTGTCTGCCGCTGGGCCGGGACGGTTAGCTGACTTGTTCAGCACCGTCAGCCATTGGTCGACTCATGTTGCTCTTTAGTGATTTATTCAGTTATGTTTGAATTGTTAAGGTTTTAACGGCGTGTGAGACGTGTGCAATGTCTTCGGCGGCCCCTGTAGCCTCGATATTCTGCTGTGATTTGGGGCCGGTTTGATAGCTCTGGTGCTGGCGCGAGTTGTATGTGGCCATTGTGCGGTGTGTAGCCGGCGGCGGCGGCCGCGTTCTGCGCTGTGTCGCGTGGATATCCTCGGTAGGTTGAGCAGCTCTCTCGAGCCAGGTCAGGATTTGGTTAGCTCAGACCAGCCAACATGTGCCCAGTCCAATTCTCCTCTTATTACGAGCCGGCCCCTTGGGCCCGCCAGTCCCCATTCCCCTTATCAGGTCAGTGCTAGTGACATTCCTCTTCCGTCTGCGGCGCCGCGCGCGCGGCTGTGGTGACGGGCTGGGACCGCCGCTTGGTGGAGGCCCGCTCGTCGAATACAGGGTGAGAAACGAACGGCAGCGTTCTGATCAGGATTATCTGGAAACCGACCAGTTTCGGAGTGAACAAGGTGGTCCCGTTCTTAAAAGTGTATTTGGAGCGTCTCGACACAATTACGCTATTCAAAAGCGTTCATAAAAACAAAGGCACAGCCGTACAAAGACATTCGTCAACCGCACCTATTACTGGGCGCAATGGCACGCACATGACAGAAAGCGGCGCAAGCTGCTCCCTGCTGCCGGGCACATCTCGATAACACGCACAAACAATCGTGTTCTTCAGATACAGCGTATCAATCTGACTCCGTTACCGGGGAAATGCCCCGTCGCCGCGCGGAACGCGTCTATTTTCGTCGTCGTCGCGGCTTAACGACGTACTCAGTTGCTGAGGCTGTATGACGTCTGTCGTACCCTGGCAGGAAGGGCGGACACTGCGGGAATCGAACCCTGTACCTTTGGCTTCCCAGACGCGCAGCTTAACCACTACCTGGGTACCCTGGGGCGTCACTCTCTGTCACGGGCCACCTGGTGACCGGGTCATCCGCCAGCAGCCCGTGGTCCGTGCTCGTGACCACCCTGCTGCAGCGGTCCGCGCCTTTCTTCCATCTTCCAGTGGCGCCACCTGTGCAGCACCCAGCGCCGCTCCCAGCACCGCGGCGGCGGCGGCGGCAGCGGCGGAGGAGCAGGACATGTCCGGGGAGCGGGCGCACCGGCGCTAGATGTGGCGGCAGGCGGCGCCGCGGCATCGGATGGCGGCCGAAAGACGGCGGCGCCACCTGGCCTTCTCCGCCGCCGACATGGCCGACGCTAGGTTCACCAGCTGGTTCGGGTCAGCGGTCAAGTCGTACACCTCCCAGAACTCCTGAAACGGACACGGCCGCGTCCGGCACCTGAGGTCGGGTGTACGTCCGGTACACGGTGTCCGGTACCTGATCTGGGGTGCAACCCACAGTACAGGACAGCTAAGTGGCACGGAAAACGGCTCCCAAGCTCGAGGCCAAGGTTCTGGGGCACTGTGCGTGCGTGTGTGAAGGGGGAGGGGCGACCACCTCCCAGCATTCTTGACAGGGGCGCGCGGCGCGCTGTGAGGTTTGCACACCGGGTGCACCGCCTCGTCGTTCCCAAAAACGACGAGGAGGATGATCAGCTGGTGGCAAGGCAGGCTTCAATATGACCAGTTCCCAACCGGACGCCGGCGTCTGAGCCCACAGGAAAGCGCGGAGGGAGGACACATCTGTAGTAACGGGAAGCGGGGCCGGGATGCGTTGCCGAGCACAGGCCACTCGCCCCCCGATAGGTCAAATGTTGTCCGGTCTTTATCAACGTGGGACAGTATGATGTGCTTTGCTGTCACGCATCCTGGGTAATTCATCGAGCAGTTGTATTGTACCTGTCAGGCTTCGGCATTCGACGGCAGGGGCGAACACCCCAGGTGCCCACAGGGAGCGGTGGTGCTCGGCACGTGACGCTCACCCTCATCGGGAAAAAAGCAGACGACGCGGTCTGCGTCCGCGGTCATCTCTCGGATGCAGCGGTACGTGTTGTCCCTGGAGTCCAGGCACTTGCACGCAAACCGCTCGTAACAGTGCTGGAAGTCGAGCAGGGCTCGTCAGCGACGGGCCAGGCCCAGACAGCTGCACCACATCAGACAAGCCAAGCTCCCTCCGCCCTCGCGACGTCCGCGCCACAGCCCGTTCACAGCCAGTGGCCAATGGCGTGCCTGAGAGGTGAAAACAGCTTCCGATAAGAGCTTCCAGTGTCGTGGTGTCGTTTGACGGTACTACCCATCACTCTGCGTCACGCTGTCTCTGTGTTTGGAGTTCCTCGGCCGCGGGCCCGCCGACACATGAGGACACCGAGGGCGTCCGTCTGACCGCTCCAGCTCACCTCCGCGCCTGGCACGCCACCCCGACACCCCGCTCCAGCTCGCCTCCACGCCTGACACGCCACCCCGACACCCCCGCTCTAGCTCGCCTCCGCGCCCACCCGGACACCCCGCTCCAACTCGCCTCCGCGCCGTGACATGCCACCCGGACACCCGGCCCACGACCAGTCCATAGCGTGCCCGTGCCGAGCCCGGGCTCCGACCCTGCCGTACCGAGACGTTGCGGCCCGCGAAGGCGCAGGCCGGCGCCACGGCCTTGTCGTACTCGCCGCTGTAGCTGACCAGCAGCGGCGGAGCGGCGACTGGGCGGCGCGGCGCCGTCCGCCGGTCGGGACGCCACTGGCTCGGCCGCCAGCGTCTGTCGGCCGGACTACCGTGAGCGAGCGCCGCCGACACATGGACAGCGCGTGGGCTGCGGAGACGTGCGGTCGCTCGACTCCGAGTCCTGTACCGATGGAATCACGGCTAGATGCGACTGGGCGGACTGTGTCACGTGGACCACAGAGGACAGGTAGGACACGCGCCTCACGTCTGGCATAATCCGCACGGGCAACTGTCTCCCTCGGCCGCCGAGGTCGACCGGGGTGCTCACCTGCAGCAGGGAGACGCCGTCCATGTCGGGCTCTGGCTTCAGGCCGGCCAGCTCCAGCACGGTCGGCGCCAGGTCGACCATGCTCACCGGAGCCAGCACGGTGCGGCCAGCCGGCAGCCGGGGGCCGCGCACGTACAGCGGCACGCGCAGGTCAAACTCGTACGGCTGTCGCTTGTCCACCGTCAGCGAGAACTGGCCTGCGGCGGCGCGGGCGTTAGCGTTAGCGGAGACAGCGGAGGCCGGCACCACGGCCCTGAGGTTCGGCGCACGGCTCCAGCGGCCCTCCCAATCAGCAAGAGTCACTCCCAGCCGACCAGGGACAGGGACAGTCGGAGACACAAACCAGGGACGGCCGCCTACAACACTAACCGGGCTGGGCGCTTCTCACGCGAAACGGCACACTTGCCCCGTATCCGAACAGCACAAGATTTGCGGCTTCGCACCCAAGCGGTCCGGCACATGGCCCCGCGTACTCCGGTGCGTGTGGATATCGCCCCGTCCCCAGGATGCGTGGGACGCGCTGCCGCACGCCCCGGCGGTGGAGTGCCATCCTGCATCCAGGCGGGGCGGGTGGGTGTTGCTGGCCGTACCCAGGTGGAAGCCGTGGTCGGAGGTGAACAACAGGTGGGTGTTGTCCAGCAGCCGGAGCCGGCGCAGCTCTTGCACCAGAGCCGACACCATCTCGTCCACAGAGACCAGCGTGCGCCACCGGTTCCGGAACACGTCATCCAGCTCGGCCAGCAGCGGCGGCGGCAGCGGCGCCGGCAGCTCGGCCAGCAGCTGGTGCTTGTCCTGTCGGCCGTGTCACAGACTAACGCGGCTGAATGTGTCACACTGTCCGCACTGGGCGCCTGGCAGACACAGGAACTGGCTGTGGAACTGAGATAAATCGAGCTTCGGACTGACTCGGCCCGGTGCGCGGCTTCAGCGCTGCGCCGCCCACCCTCCCACTCTGCACCTGGGGTCGCACGTTGAAGCTGGCCGTGCGCGGTAGCCACCCTCCCACTCCGCACCTGGGGCCGCACGTTGAAGCTGGCCGTGCGCGGCGCGGCGGCCGTCGGGAAGAGGGCGGCGTGCTGCGGCGCCGGCGTCTGCGGCGCGTGCGGCGCGGGCGGCGCCACCACCAACAGGAACGGCGCGCCGCCCGGCGCCCGGCCGCGCAGAAACTCCAGCGCGTACCGCTTCTGTGGCACGCGTCCACGCCCGGCCGGTCAGCCGACGGCGCAGAGGCTGGGGTCGGCGGAGCTGGAGTCGGAGCGGGTCTGACGGCGCCCGAGAGCGAGAGCGAGGTCTAGCGGCTTAGGTCACACTCATATGTCAACTTAGTTGCTCATGTGGTCTGAGCAATTAAATTCAAATGAATGATGGCAATGTCACGTCACGACAACCCACACTGCCAGTTCCATTAGCCCCCATTCGTTCCACTGACACGTACTATCCAAACGCGACCAGAGCCCACCAAGCACCGGTTAGTTGCGGCCCAGATTAGCAACGGAAGACGTCAAAAACGCGCCCCGCTGAACTGCGCTGGCAAAGGTGGATGTCCTGACGAACGGCCCGTGGTTCTATCCGGCTTCTGTTTGCGGCCACATCTCAGACATAAGCGGGAGACGCTTGCGCTCACACCCTGGTTCCACCCGGCACCGAGCCCGAACACTCTCCGTCGCCCGGCGGACAGCGCTAGCGGCACAGCCTCGGTCCCAGCCCCCCCCCCCCCCCGACCACCCCTGGCGCTACGCCTTTCTGCGGGTGTGCGCTCTGCACCCTGTCGCGCAGCCGTCCCATGGTCAGCTAACGACCACGGTGAAAATATCAGCACGCATTGGACGTAGCATCAGCCGGGGACCGAACAGAGCCTGCCACGTCTAAGTCCGCCGTTTTTCCAACCGCGCCACAGCCGCCTCTCGGCTCCGGGCCGCGCACTCACGATGACGTCCGTGAAGTAGTCGTCGGCGTAGCTGTCGCCGTGGCGGCGCGCCGTGCCGTTCACCGAGAGGGTGTAGTTATAGTAGCGCGAGTTGCCGACCAAGCCGACCCACCAGTCCCAGCCGGGCGGCACGTGCTGCACTCCGCCCGCTGGCGGGAGGCCGTACTGAAACAGCGCCGGGAGGCGGCCCTCAGCCGGCCGGACACGGAACTAACGCACACGGAACTAACGCACATGCCGGTCGGACACGGAACTAACCGGCACGCCGGCCGGACTCGGCGTGGGGCCACATTCCTGGCGAGACACAATATGGATGAAGAATAAATCGCAAACGTTATAGTGCCACGGATATCGGGAGATAGAGGAAACGCTTCAATTCGAGTGAAATATACGTTTCACGGAGTTACATCGCATCAGACATCTTCGAAAAGAGTCGGTGTTTTCTTAAGTCGCATGTCGGCCATGCTGATATGCAGCGATGGCTTCCTTGTAAAATGATACACATTCGGTTTGACCCCATTCACCCTCACTAAACGGACAACAAGATGGCAAATGGTCCGCTTCCACGAAAAACGGCACTGCCCGCGGCCTTGCCATGACGTCAGACCTTTGTGTGGGGCAGCGAACCCGCCGCCGCCGCGGCCCTGAGCCGCCCGCGTCATCACGGAGCCGCACAAAGCGCAGCCCCGCTGCGGCAAGGCGTGGCAACGCCGACTCGGCTGTCGCCACACACCGTCCAACAAAGCCGCCGGCCGGCCAACTGCGCCCGTCGGCGTCTGGCAGCTGTTTTTGTCTGGCTTCGACGCCACCGAACGTCAACCCCACGCCGGCGACGGCGCCGCGGCCACCTTGTCGTGGCGGTCAGCGGAGCGGGTTTTTTCGCCGGGCGCGGCGGCGGCCGGCTGGCAGGCGGCCAGCACAGAGGCAGGCAGCCGCCGCGGCAGAGGGGAGGGCTATCTCCCGGCCCTGTTGACTGTGTGACGGCACATCGCTCAGTGGCGCACATCGGGAAGGTGCGGAGCCCCGGCCGGCCGCGCCGCCGTCTCGCCGCCTGGGCAGAGCTGCGACTCAGCTGATCGGAGGAGCGGCTCAGCTGGTCGGGGGAGCGGCTCAGCTGACCGGAGGAGCGGCTCAGCTGATCGGAGGAGAGGCTCAGCTGATCGGAGAAACGACACAGCCAATCGCAGCTGACTTCACTGGCCAGGACGGCAAGTCAGCTGGCGGGAGGAACGAATCCGCTGAACAGAGGCCGGCCGAATAATACGAAGCTCCAGCAACCAGCTGAGTAACGCCATCGTGCCAGGGTACCGCCTACATCTCAGAGGGCGCTCCGCGGCGCCACCCCACCATGTGGTCAAGTTGAACGCCTCTCAGTCCAACATAGGGCAAGGGCCGTCCGGCTCCCGGGCTCAGCCGAGCCCACTTGACAAGCGGTGACGTGCGCCTAGTACTGACTCTTGTGTCGTAGCGGCAGGCAGAGGTCAGCATCTGCAGTCTCCAGCATCCGACGCCTGACAACGCTCCGGGGCGCGGAGCCACCGAAGCCTCCTGTGTGGGGACTTGGGACACGTTCAGCAGCGGAGTCCATGGCGAGGAAGGGCGTGTGGGGCTTTCTGCGGGGCCTGGGTCGCCGGAAGGCCGAGCCTGAGAGCCGGCCCTCTGACCTGGCATTGGCGCCGGCGCCGGCCGGCGGCGACAGCGGAGCCGCTCAGGCCGGCGAGACCAACTGGACGGTGCTCCGCCTGCCGCTGGGGGAGGGCGCGGCGCTGGAGGACGCTATCTCCCACTGTGTCGAGCACTACATCAAGCCGGCCCTGCTGCGGACGACTGGCGCCAGCGACGGCCCCACGTCTGGCGCTCCGTCCTTCGGTGAGTGGCGCTCAGACGCGGCCGGCTGCACTTCGTCCGTCGGTGAGTGGCGCTCAGACGCGGCCGGCTGCACTCCGTCCGTCGGTGAGTGGCGCTCAGACGCGGCCGGCTCTCGGAGACTCCCGACCGGGGAGCGGCGCACCAGAGCTACCCCGTACTGCTGGTACATTGACTGGAGTGACTGGTGGTGGAGGTGGCAACGATCACCCAAGCTTTGTCGGTTCCAGGCCTACTTCACCCTCCTACCCAGTGTGTGGCGCGTGAGCGGCGTTAACTCACGGCTGTGTAGCAGCTTCCTTTCATGAACGAGGAGATACGGCGGCCGAGATATCAACAGGCTAACGTCTAGTTTCGTGAAACGGAACGGCGAGCGACGCACTATGAAATCCGGCTGTATAAGCTAACGGGCCGGAGAGGGGATATTTCACTTCAGTCTTCGGCATGTAAACCATTTGCGGATGAGACGTGTCGGCTGGACCGCAGGTAAACGTTTGTGGTCTGTAGACACCACATAACCATAACATCGCAGCTGGTAATCTACATATGTTTATGGCACACGCTCTTGAGACACGGTTCAAAGGTACGTGGGCTGGTGTCTTTCTTTAAAAGAACTAGGCGCATGTTAAAATTCGGATCTTGTTTCCCCTGAATCTTACCTTGTTGTTAAATGGCCGTCCACGCATTAACGGTTACGATCCTAGTCTTACCACGCCACGCCTTGTGTCATGACGTCAAAGCAGAATACTGATGTAATTGAAAGGAGTAGAACTAGGGTTGCCAGATCTAAATGCCGCCTCGCGGCGGACCGCGCAACAAAGGCGTGCTCAGAAAATAATAATACACTGCCGGTTTCGCGTGGGCCTCGCCCCACGTACCCTGCCCGATCGCACCCCCGCTTCGGCATCTGCGCGGGTGTGCGAACCGCCTGATGAGTGAGCTCTGACCGCTCCTGTTGCAGCTGTGCTGGTCGTGCTGGCCGCCTGCTGGCTGCTGGCGGCCAGCAGTTCGCTGGTGCTGCTGGTGGCGGCGCTGGCGGCGCCGGCCGTCCGCTCGGCGCGCGCGCTCGAGTCGGGCGACGGTGACCAGCGGCGCCGCTGGCTGCGCTACTGGGTGGTGTACGCCGCCGTCGGCACCATCTCAGTCGCCAGCGACCGTCTGCAGGCGTTCATACCGGCATACTGGACGCTTAAGGTAGGCAGTCGGGGTGATTTCGCGTCTCCTGATGCTTCGGAGTCTTTTACGTCGGGCTACTGAGGCCCCACCGCAGTACGTTCCACCCCTGGCCCGCACACTCAGCTAACAATACAGCCATCTTCACACGCCGGAAAATAAGGCTGCATTTCTAGTGGCAACAGATGGATTGACTCCAGAAAATGCAATGGTAGCCCCCGGAATCGAAAAAAATCGGTACTGCACGATCCGTTCCAAGTCATGGAAACTAGCAACGAAAATCGCGCACACCGGCGGCGAGAACTGGCTCCATCCCTCCATCCAAACCATCTCAAACCTAAGCACCGGCTGCCCTATCAGACGTGCATTTCAAACAAAACAAAAAGACCATCTGTTTCTCTGACTGTGCTTATGTTTCAACGTGTTCTTTTTGCTGGGCTTTGCTACAGCGGCTTTTCACAGCTGATCTCCCATTTCAACAGCTTAGATACCGAGGAGCCTTATCCGCCGTTTACAACACGGCACTGCTCGAACGATGCGGGGACAACCACTCTCACTGCTGGCCTTTCCACAATTTTTGAGTGGACAGCTATCACTCGTTTTGCCGGGTCTAGCATACTGTTCGCCTGCTACAGGATGCGTTAGTCTTGGAGCGAACAGAGGCTGCTGCGTGTTATGACGGAACATTAAGGCAGAAATGAACAGAAACTATTCAATGGACCATTACGGAAGATGATCAGCGACGAGATTGGTTGAGACTCAGCGGCACTTTCGCAATAGATATACGCCGTTGTTGACACTGGCAGATTATGTGGCATATGATCTCGGCTATTAACGGGTGAGACGTGACGACGAAATACTCAACACTCGACGTCAGTGTAGCAAAGCCTGGCTTTGGGGAATGTAAAAAGTGGTCACCGAAATGGATTGGCGCAAAAGGCAAATATCCGTCGCCAGATTACTGAGTGAGATTCGTCATTGTTATCATCGCGTGCCCAGTTTTCGGTTGGTGAGCCCCGCGCCCGTTGTAGATCCGGACCGCTTCCGAAGCCCCTGTGGCTGGGTCGGACCACCCAGGCCCCACACCCGCGATGGGCGGGTTCGGCCGCCGCCTCTGGGGCACCGTCTTCACTGCCGACGCATCTGTTGCAGACGCTGCTGCTGTGTGGTGCGCCGCGCCCTACTCCTGGCACGGCGCCGACTACGTGTTCCACCAGCTGGTGCTGCCCGGCGTGCACCGGATCACAGCCGCCTGGGAGCGCTGCTTCCCACTCAGCCAGCAGCAGGACTGACGGCACCGGATCACAGCCGTCTGGGAGCGCTGCTTCCCACTCAGCCAGCCGCAGGACTGGCGGCACCGGATCACAACCGCCCGACAGTGCTGCTTCCCACTCAGCCAGCCGCAGGACTGGCGTCGCCGGATCACAGCCGCCCGAACATCTGCTTCCCCTTCATCCAGCCGCATGACTGGCTCGCCGATCAAGCCGCCTGCAGGGCTGTTCTCATTCTGCCAGCCTCATGAACTGGCGGCACCGGACTCACAGCCTCCCGACAGTGCTGCTTCAGCATTCAGCCAGCACAGGACCTGCTGCACCATAGCAAAGCCGTCTGGCCGGCGTTCTCATTCAGCATCAGCATGAATGACACCCGAGGCCCAGATCGTAAAGAGTGGCGAGATGCCCGGCGGCAGGCGTGTGTGCGTTTGACCAGCAGCTTCTGCGTCACGTGACTGCACAGCGCGCGTATGTGACTGTTTCTGAGGTGTTTCAACTTGACCATTGTTATGTACAATGGGCGCATCCATTGACGGCGACAAAGTGACAGAGACAGGGGTCCTGATGGGAGCAGCCCGCCCAAGCCGTCGTTCGTGTGTTGTGATAAAAGTCCCGGCTCATTGCGAATGCTGATCCTTGGAGGCATCGTGTTGCGGGTGCCGCTCTCTGACTGAAGCGCCCAGGTGCTGGACTAGAGTGTTTTTGATCTCGTAGCATGCCTGTTTGTTTGGCGGGCATTAGCGCGGAACGGGTACAAGCGATGTGCACAAAGTTTGTGGTCAATGTTGTTGGTCCTAGAATGACCATGATGTGCCATATACACTTATGAGCTCGACAATGGAAACATCGTCGTCTGGTCTCGCATTATCATCGTGTTGTTTCGTTGGTGGATAGCGGATAATTGGCATCATGGCATATCTTTGTGACACGAAAGGATATTAGTTACACCTACGGCTCTGCGCGGTAACCATTACTCGTGATGTTAGTAAAAATCATTTTCAGGCACACAAAGTCGTGGTTTCCGTCGCGTGGCGGCTTTTAATGTATGCTCTCATCAACACGGTACGCAAGATTCCAATCGGCAAATGCAGCTATGCAAGAACGAGGCGGTGGTCAATCCGCTCTAAACAAGCTAGTTATGACGGTCATGTTAAGTTACCAATCCCATTGACGTGAGCAAACAATTCCTAAGTTTGCAGAAGGCAGTCTCTGTTCGAGGTCTCATCCTCTCAGGTCTCACCCTAGTGGCTAAGCATCGACCTTAGAATAGGTGCGCCAACACAGGTCACGACGTCGGCATCGTCTCTTAAAAACCTGGCATTCCAATAATGTTTCCAGCCAGAAAACTGCTGTCTAAACATGACGAAGACACACACGTGTGAAGCTCGCACCAGTTGCTCACACGACTGCAACATCAACTGAACGCCGCTGGGCGTCGGCTCACCTGGTTGAGGTATTTGCCAGGCGTAAAATGTGTGGTAGCCGCGCCGGCGGAGGTGAGCGGCGACCGTGCGCCGCTCCGCGCCGTGCCGCCAGTCGCTGCCGCAGCAGTTGCCCCGCAGGGTGTTGTTGATGACGCGCGTGTTGTGCTGGTACCGGCCGGTCAGCATAGAGGCTCGGCTCGGACAGCACACCGGCGTGGAGACGAACTGCCCAGACACACAATAATGTGGTACCTCAGTGGCAGCACAACTGCCCACCACACTTTGACAATGTGGCTATCTTAACCTTTCAGCCACTGAAAGTGTGGGACCTTACAAATTTGTTGGTGGGTGTGAACATGACAAGTGCATGTGGAGTTACACCTATTGAGCTGGGATCTTCATTGTGTCAGTGAATGTGGGCATACATGAAGCATTTGTTTTTCTTCATTTGTGGTATGATATCTGTAATACTATATTGAAATGATCATCTGTATCATCTGCACCATTTGCTTCTTGAAAATGGGGTCATAATGCATTACAAATAAAAGAAATTACAACATTGTTGGTTAAAGGCTTTACAAAATTGTTGGTCATGCATTTCACCTCTAACCCTAGTTGATACTATCTGAGCAAAACTTAAAGCAGACTGCTACTTACACTCACTGAAACATAAATGAGATACTTACACCATTTTTGAATGTGATCCCACCAGTTTCAAAGAATGTCTTGGTGAATGTCATGGGTTCCTGAAAATGTAAGCTACATGTTGCAGTAACATGTAAACATGGGTCAAGTACACAGCCATAATGAAAGCACCTTATACTTGAATCTTGCAAGAAATATGCTTAGCATCCATTATTGTCAAAATTACCCAAACTTAGTTTCTCTCCATCAATAATTACCCATCCTGTTTCCTAAGGGGCCACAACCAGACCAAATTGTGTGATAACAGGAAGATACATCAAGTCAAAATATTCTGCACCAGTGGCCTATGGTCTTATATGGCTGATTGCTTGCATCATCTTGCTGGCAACAGCTATAACTGAGTGATGTCACAGACCACATGTCATATTTCAAACATTCATCTCATTTGACTGGAGGTAGTGCATAGGAAAACTCTGCTGGCCTCCTAGACTCAATGCTTTAAGTAAATCTGCAACTTAAAGATGCACCAAGTACAACTGGATTTGTTCTGTCCTAAATGAGGGATACATACCATGCCCTGAAGTAGCATGTCTTGATCATCAGTAACAATCAATATAATGTTAGGCATGTGTGAAGCATTCTCATCATCTTGGATGTACTGTGATATTGTATGGCTAATTATCAGTGAACTTATTGCCAAGATGCATAAGATGATGACCCCCTTGGCTACAATTTTAGACACCCCCACTTCCAAAGAAAATCGTTTTCCATTGTATTTCAGGGATGAATGCGAGGGTTAATGCATGATCAAACCTCCCAATCTGTTGTCAACTTAAGCACATAAAAACGGGAATAATGTGTTCATATGGAAAATCTCCGTAACACATTCGGGCAATGCCTTGCGTATCTGAAAACATCAAAACATAACGTCTGTCAATCTAGCAGCAGATTGATATCCAATTGCCCAGTTGGATATTGCGGGGCGTCTCGATTGCCTTGAAATTTGGTGTGCAGGGCCTTCTCGACACGCTTATTCCGAAAATCACTGCCTTTGAGGTGGAATTTTGCGTAATTTTCGAGCTATACGCTGCGTAACATATCAATGTGATATTGCGGGGGCGTCTCGACTGCCTTGAAATTTGGTGTGCACGCCTTCTCAATACGCTGATTCCGAAAAGCACCGCCTTTGGGGTGGAATTTCGCGTAATTTTCGAGTTATACGCTGCGTAACATCCCAATGTGATATTGTGGGGCGCCTCGATTGCCTCCAAATTTGGTGTGCAGAGCCTTCTCAACACGCTGATTCCGAAAATCACTGCCTCTGGGGTGGAATTTTGCGTGATTTCCGAGTTATACGCTATGTAACATCTCAATGTGATATTGCGGGGCCTCTCGGTTGCCTCCAGATTTTGTGTGCAGGGCCTTCTCAACACGCTGACCACCGGGGTGTCGCCACCGCCGTCCGGCGGGCTCGTGAAGTGCAGCGTCTCCACCACGGTCAGCAGCAGCGGGCTGATGTTGCCAGGCAGCCAACAACATGGGCATGACGTGCACAAGTAGCATGCCCTGTTCCACCAGCGCCACCACCGTTCTTGGAGATAAGACAGACGGTGACATCACCCAAATCTTCAGGCCCCAGCGGTGAAGCACGATTGGTTTGGTCACTAGCGACATCTTGTCAGTTTGTTTTTGGTCAGGACAAGCAATGCTCGTGGCTACATCGGACTATTACTCAACCACCTTAAAGGTCAGAAACGAAACAAAGCTGAGAGAGATGCCACTTGGGTGATACCACTAAGTTAATGATATCACATACCACACGGTTATCAATCACATTTCGCGAACTGACCTCCTCCAGTAAACTGATAGGGACAGGCCAAAGGCGAATTCCAGGACACATATTCCAAAGCGCAACTGAGGTGTCACGCGTCGTTTAACTCGGAAGTTACGCAAAATTACACAACAAAGACAGTGATTTCCGGAATCAGCGTGTTGAGAAGGCCCTGCACACCAAATTTCAAGGCAATCGAGACGCCCCGCAATATCACATTGAGATACTACGCAGCAGTATAACTAAAAAATTACGCAAAATTTCATCCCAAAGGCAGTGATTTTCGGAATCAGCGTGTTGAGAAGGCCCTGCACACCAAATTTCAAGGCAATCGAGACGCCCCGCAATCACATTGAGATGTTACGCGGCGTATAACTCAAAAATTACGGAAAAGTCCACCCCAAAGGCAGTGAATTTCGGAATCAGCGTGTAGACAAGGCCCTGCACACAAAATTTCAAGGCAATCGAGACGCCCCGCAATATCCAACTGTTGTGTTACACGGCGTGTAACTCGGAAATTACGCAAAATTCCACCCCAAAGGCAGTGATTTTCGGAATCAGCATGTTGAGAAAGCCCTGCACACAAAATTTCAAGGCAATTGAGACGCCCCGCAATATCACATTGGGATGTTACGCGGCGTATAACTCGGAAATTACGCAAATTTCCACCCTAAAGACCGCTAATCTTCGGAATCAGCGTGTTGAGAAGGCACTGCGCACCAAATTTGGAGGCAATTGAGACGCCCCCGCGATATCACATTGGGATGTTACGCAGCGTATAACTCGGAAAACTACGCAAATTCCACCCCTGTGGCAGTGATTTCGGGAATCAGCGTGTTGAGAAGGCTCTGCACACCAAATTTGGAGGCAATCGAGACGCCCGCAATATGACATTGGGATGTTACGCGGCGTATAACTCGGAAATTACGCAAAATTCCACCCCAAAGGCAGTAATTTTCGGAATAAGCGTGTTGAGAAGGCCCTGCACATCAAATTTCAAGGTAATCGAGATGCCCCGCAATATCCAACTGGCACTTGGATATCAATCTGCTGCTAGATTGACAGACGTCAAAACATATCGTGTTATTTCATCGAACCAGGAGGCAACAGCTAATGAATCAATGGCGCCCTCATTCGCTTTATTCCCATGAGTGAGACTAAAACACTGACGCTGTAGGGACCAATACTGAAGTGAATTTTTGACTTGTTAATGGAGTCCGGTTGCACGAGAACCATCCACGCATATTTATAAATTGTGTTGGCAAAAAAACCATAAATTCAATTCCAGTTTTTTACTGCAATATATATTCTTATGATAGGGGTAGCCATGTTTCTGAGGTTGGGGAGTTGGGCATTGGAGGGATCAAGCAGGAATCTAGCGAGGCGGGGCTATCTAACCTGAGAATAGCATGCACAATGGAATGATTTTAGCACATCCACCCCACGAATTACGGGAAAAATTGCTCGGGTCTGCATTCTTCTCTCAGAAAATTGGAAATGAGAGTGCCCCTCATTGGACCCACCCCAGTGGCTAGCTGTAGCGGTTTTTACGATTCCAGTGTAACGGAACTGACTCCAGAATCAGAATTCGTCTAAGTTTGTATTATATCATGTGTAAAGTACCGCATTGTGGCAAAAGGAAATGCATAGTTATAAGCTTTCTGGAAACGTTACGTGAATTTTTAATACTCTTGTAACGCAAGCGTTGCAGTTCTGGCGCATGCAATACAGTTTTGGAGTGGAATATGAAAAATGGGACAATGGAAAGGCCGATGTTAGGAAAACCGTGCGCATTGCGAACCGTGGATGTTACAACCGTGGATATTTCTGGCTAGAAGAACCGTGGATATTGCCCGCCTTAGACATAACCTTACTACTAGTGCTAGCTTGGCCTGGAAGGTATGTGTGCTCTGTGCATTTTGATTTTTAGGGAATGCTGGTAAATCTGCACTCCTGAGGCTAGCATAGGTCCTCAAGCTAGACAAACTTGTGATGATTTTCGACATTTCATTTCTTCTAATGTTTTGTTAAGCACCCTGGACAGAGTCACAACACGTAAACTGCCATGTGTCCAATATCCAGAAGTGTTGAGCAGTTATTGGAGCAGAGTTACATATTTTAAAAAATCAGGTTCAGACTGTCAGCAAGTTTATGACACCTTTGTATGATGGCTTCGATTAGTGAGGCTGATATTGATATTTTTACATTTGCATCGCTGTAAAAGTGGCGTGGGGTCCTGGATCTGCAATGCCAGATTGCCATGAAAGTCCTAATGCACTTGCCCCATCACAATCCTGGATTGGTACCCATGTCATGACTGTTTATACAGCAGTTTTATTGTGGAAAGGAGGTTTGAATGGCATTGCTGCAGCACCTTCTGCATTGTGATGTACCCAGAATCATGCTGTACATAATTTGAGACACTGAACTGAGTAGCGGATGGAAGTCATTTTCATCTGTGATATCAGAAAAAATGATGCAGTTGTACCATGCTAATATACTTAAGTTTTTAGCAGATGAATGTATGCTATGTAGAGTGTCAAGTCTTGAGCATACCCACCTCTTGCTGAAAGTGATGATATTAAATGTTTGATCAATGTTTATGAGTGGTTGATTGTATCATGCATTAAAAGGTGCTTCAAAAAAGTGTAAATATGCTCCCCCAATTTATGATCATATGATGTTAGTCCCAGTTATTAAATGAACATATGTGAGCATGAAAGAAAGAGAAAAAATAAAGGCTGCAGAAGAAACCACACAAATCATGAAATCAGCAATGAAAAATATTTGTTGTATTAGTATTTGCAGTTCAGTGTAAGCTGATGACTGAGTGAGGCTTTAAAATAATTTATGCATGTTTGTTAATGCCACATAATGCACTTTTGAGTAGCATTTGGGTTTGATGGCACATGTAGTCTCACTGGACTTGGGTTTGAGTATCAGCTCACAGTTTTTGGAACTCAGATTCAAATTTGGTTAAACCTCCAAGTGAATTGGACTCAGGGCATTGGGCTCAGCAACTCAACAAATAACAAACTTAGTCCAGACAGAAACAGTTGAACAAGCTCATGTCTCAGGCTCAAACTCAGTTAAGGCATGTAAAAATGTGAGTTGTTAAGATAACTTAAAGGTGCCATAGCATCGTGAAGCCAGGCCCTGTTTGAGATGATGTTATGACATCTGATTGATAGCATTTGAAGCAACTACTTCCTTCTCACAAGTGTGTAAGAAATTAGACATGTTGATGGAAAGCAAACCTGGGGATTTTTCTTGTATTAATGAAGGATCATTTGAACTTGTTAACCAAATCTTCACCACTGATTGAGGCACATGAATGAATGGTCTCAGTTTTCCAATTCCTTTCTCAACCATGCTGTTTCAGCATGGACTGTGGACAGTGTTGCCCCAGGTTCGCCATTCAGTATCACTCCATATGTAGCACCAGCCTTTCAGAAATACTAGCAGTTCAGTCACCCTTAAAAAGAAACACTATGGTTTTCATGTAGCATTTACTGTCAGATATTTCTATGATCCACTTGAGCATATATTGCATGTGATGTATTCCACTCTAGTGCAACAAAGTGCAAAAAATGCATATCGGCAACTGTAATTTGAGACTGAAGTACTTCTTGGACGGCGTCGAAATCGCAGCCGAGTCCACCGAAAGACCTCGGAATCTTCGTGGGTCGTAGGCTCAATCTCCGTGTGGGGACGGCGTAGACGATCTCGAAGACCAACCAGGTGCTGGCAGTCGTCAGGCGGTCTTTTGCCAACATCGATGTTCACGCGTCGCCATTGCTCTTCAAGATCCTAGTACGTCCGTGCTTGGAGTATTGGCAATGCCGTCTGGGGCCCGTTCGGCAAACTGGACCAGAAGCGGCTGGAGCGGGTTCAGCAAC